TTTGTTCCTTATTTTCTCTGTAGTTCTATACATTGACTTGACCCTATAATCATTTGATTTGAGGTACAATAGAAACAAATGAATGATTTTCATTCAATTGAATGAGGCTTATCTTACTTTTTTCCACTAAGTGAACAACATTTGATTTGAATGTCCATTGACCATCTTGGAAGGATTTTTATATCCCATCTTAACGAACTGCTATATATGCACATGTCTAGGGATTGAAAAAAGGTTAACATTCAGATTTTCCAGAACTAAAAACGGAATTTATTTTTTATCAACAATGGGAGATGAGTCATGTAATATTTTTCGAGCACAACTTTATTGCCAAAGTTTTCCATGAAAAAGTTAACATTGTGTTGCTGGGTTGAGCCACAATGTCGACCGGGAGGGAGCTAAAGCCAGAGCTCTCGTGACGTGCAAACCTTAATTAACACACAGAGAAGAGAATACTCACATACGTGGGGGGTTTTTTCGACTGTAATTAAGGGTAAGTTTTTTAATAAATATTGTATATATTATATATTTAAATTTATTATTTAAATATTAAAAGTGCGTTTGATTTAGGCACTAAAGAAAGGTTAGGGTTTTGATTTTAAATGTATTTCTATATAAATTAATGATATTTAATATTAATTTTTATTATAATAATTAAACTTAAAGCTTAAAGTATTGAAATGTTAATTAAAATATTGTAATACATTAATAATTGATAGTTAAATTGAAACAAAATTAAGTAAAGTGATAAATGAATATTTTATGTTTTATAAGGGATAGTTTGATGGAAGCAATACAAGTTAAAAACAAGCAGATTGTCTATGATCGAGTTGAATACTTATATTCTTTTGTCATAGTAATATTCTATTTCTTCTCGATCAAATGCATTTATTGTTACTGTTATAGTACTGCATATCCCTGATTTATGGTTCTATTCAATTTTTTTAAAATTGTAAGAATATCCTGTGTTCTCAGCTTTATTTAAATTATTCTGGATATTAAATCTTGTATAAGAAAATTGACTGTTATGCAAATGAAAATGAAATATTTGTCATTGAAAAGTGATATTTTTATAGTATGTTTGTATGTGCATGCTTGATTATGATGGAGTCACCTTTTTTATGGTATTAATGAGGAAATACTAAAGTACCCGTGCATATAAATGAAAAAAAATGTTGATATTAAAATATTTTAATTGGTACAACTTTTAGATCATGCTTATGTGACAATTGTACATATATATAATGATATAAATATGCTATTGATATAATAAAATTCATGAAATAACATCATAATCTTAAAATATCAAATGTTTATATTGATTTATTGAAAGCTTGACTGACATGTATATTGTGTTTTTTTTTCCTTGTATTACTGTAGTTTAGGAGTGTGGGTATTCACATACTTTAGTTAACCTACAGTTGTTTTAAACTAAATTTTCAAATATAATTAATTTATTAAAAGGTGAGCAATAGAAAAAAAAAAAATTATAGAAAACGTGAACAACATGTAATGAGGTAAGTTTAATTATATCACTTCAACTTAATTTATTTAGTAGCTCTTTCATTTATTAATAGCTAGTTATAGAATTAATTAAATAAATCTTAATTCCCTTCGTCTGATCATTTGTACATGTCTTGGTTAATTCCAAATCACGGGCTGGGTTGTGACAGTATGCACTATCCTTGAAATGTGCATATTGCATTACTAAATAAAAAATTTTAAAAAGATTACAAAAGGAGTGCCCAGTTCGTCAAAACATGGGCCTGGTCCAATGCAACAAAAGGAAAAAGAAAATGAGAGCTATCAATATTCCTAACAAAAAACTAGCATGTACAGCCTTTTGGGCACAAATATGAGCACCAAGATTTTTCTATCTATATATATGTTGAAATAGAACTCGTTTGAATGAAGTTAGAAAAGTAAGATCCTCTGTATCTTCAAACTGAGCAGTCCAGTATGCACTATCCAACAGAAAATAAATATAAATATTAGTGGTTGGAGTCAGCCATTATCCTTAACACTTACAAACGAAAAAGAAAGGAAAAAAAAAAGAACAGAAAGAAACACATAAATCTTATGGAATCACTATTGATGATGTTTTGATTGTTTGACTACTTTAATTTGTGTTGTCTTGATTGCATTGATCATTGCTGTAGTTGAGTCCTTAGATTCTAGACTCCAAAAAATCTATTTTATTTTTAAGATATGCTTGTTATAACCACAATATCATTGAGCTTGGTCTCAAGGTGGTTAATATGAACATGACTATCTCAGCAATGTTCATCTTGACAAGCTCTCTCTCTCTCTCTTTATACGCACACACTTACATAGATATAATTTATATATCTTATATGTATTCACATATGATTATATTTGCCTGAATGATACATATTTTTAAAGTTTGACTTATTTATTTAAACTTTAAAAACCATGAACTATAGTTTACAAATCATGAATAAATCATATTTTAAGTTCTATTACTTAAAAATATGTTATTTTGTCATAATGCCGATGTTTTCATTGTGCAATCAAATTATGACATTTTCTGATGCATTTGATGATATTATTTTGTTTTAGTGTCATTTACATACATAGCACCTAATTCTTATATATTTTTATATCTAACACCTAAACTATGTTTTTCTTACAATTATACTACCCAAATCTTGCACTTCACATCAAAACTACTACTAGTTTTAACTTTTAAAAGGTGAAATACACCTTTTCATGTATAAGGTGGCATATATGTAAAAATTGAAGTTTAGGTTCTAGATATGTAAGTACATAAGAATTGAGTGGTATGTATGTAAATCTTCTTTTCTTTTATTCTTCATGTTTGGCTTGTGTTTGGATTGATAGTAAATTTTGAGCTTGAACATGATTTTTTACCTTAGTCAACTTAAGCTTGTTCATGTTTGGTTCAAGAGTTGTTGATGAACTAAAACAAATATACAAGAGCCAAGCTCGCACTTGTTTAAATCTTTTGCAATTTTAGATTTGGGGCTAATCTTTGTTTTTTTCAATTAACTGTGGAAGTATGTCTTTGTTTTTTTCTGTAGAAGTTGGGTTCATGTATTATTAGTCTTTATAACGACACCCTTTCCTTTATACAAGAGGTGTATACCAAGAATAAAAATCTTGTTTAACTTACAGGTTGCTGCCCACATCGTCAATATTTGAGTCAACAAGAATGTAGTATGATAGATAAATCCTGGAAGAAAAGGGTTCCAGGTTGCCATAAAAATAAACATATCGGGCTGAAAATTGCAAGATTTTCCAGTTTTAATGGTTGGAAACATCTAAATGCCACATCTGGACAGTCCTTAGAACCAGAACCTGAAGCATATACTGTGATGAAATTATGGGATTTACTATTTTCATCATTGGATGCTTTCTATCGGTTTTCACGTCCCCACACGGTCATAGGCACAGTTAAGTCAGCCCCTGTAATACTTTTTTATAATATTTTTAAGGGAATTTTGCATGCATACCACAAAATTCTTATGTATTTACATATCTAACACCTAAAATTTTATATTTACATTTATATATATTTACATTTATAGCACTTTGGTGTTATAAACTTATGCATGAATAGGTGTATTTCGCTTTTAAAAAAATAGGAATAATGGTATTTTTTATGTGATGTTTATGATTTGAGTGATACACATGTAAATATGAAACTTTTGGTGTTATATATGTAAATATATAAGAATTGTGTGGTATTTATGTAAAAGCCCTTATTTTTAAACAGCAAGCATGCGTTATTATGATAAGCATGCGTTATTATGGAAAAATTTGTTCTTGTTAAATGGTTCTGCACTATGAGTGTTCATGTTTATTTTATTGTTGTATTCAAACAAAATTTTTACGTCTATGCAGGCATTGAGTATTGTCTCAGTTTCTCTTCTGTCGGTTGAGAATTTCAATGATTTTTCTCCGCCCTTCTTTACTGGACTTTTACAGGTAGAAATCTTAATATTTTGCTGCGTTGAATACGTTCTTTGACTTATTGACATTAAATAATTTGCAGGCAGTGATTGCTGCACTATTCATGAACATTTACATTGTTGGACTGAATCAGTTATTTGACATTGAAATAGATAAGGTATCTCTCCGGGCTCCCTTTTTTTTCTTTTTCTTATTTCACCTATGTGGGTTTGTGTATTTTGTTTTAAAAACGCTTAAGAGTGAAGTGGAAAAATGGACCCCTAGTTATTTTTGTGGGCCATTTTAGTCCCAAAATTTATAAGAGTTTCAAATTAGTCACTAGACTATTCTAACATAGGCTAAAATAATCCCTATTAAGAACTATTTTTATAAGAACCTAAAGAATTATTTCTTACCTTTTACTTCACACGGTTGATTTCACCCAAACCACCTGCTCCCATACCCAAAATCCTCGATGTCTGTCGCATTTGGAGCCTACTTGAAACCAACGAACCTACCTCCTTCTGTTTGCGCCTACCTAAAACCAGCGAGGAAGGTAACCTTCGTCTTTCTCCCCTTCCTCATATCCGTACATGCCATCGTCAAACCGGATTTCCTAATTCGGGATTTAAGGCAAGCATATGAGATACAAGACTTAAGAACCTATAGGATTTAATTTAGTTATTATGGTGCTATTACTAAGGATAGGTGTTATGCATTTAAATCTCTCAAAATTTTATTTAAAAATAAAAATTTGTCCTCCCTTTCAAAAAAAAAAAATTGATTATTGTTCTATTATTGTTTTTAACAACAACAATAATATAATAATAATAATAATAATAATAATAATAATAATAATAAAAGGGCCGATTTGGTTGCATCTAATTTCATAATAAATAAATTTAATTTTATATTTATTTTATCTTATTTTCTAATTGGTATAGGATTAATAGTCGAATCGTCAAATTAGTAGAAAGATCTTGTTAGTCGCCTTGAGGTAAGTATTTGCTCTTTATTATGAGATAAACGTACAATTTCTAATTAGGGGTGTTAATATGACAACAAATTTCATTTGTATTCTAATGACTTTCATGTGTAACTAGCCTTGTTTTATTGCTGCATAGATTCATGTTTATTTACTCGCATGCCATGACATGGTTCAATAATTATTATTTCTTTATAGCATAGATATGTGAAATTTTATTATTATAGTTTTACTATTGATTATAAATACTGGCGTACTTTTTTGTAGTTATATTACTGTATTTTAAATAAAATATATCTAATAATATAATATAATATGTCGATATTAAACACTTTTGTTATGGTTAGCCGGGCTGACGGGCTCTTCAGAGAAATCAGTGGATTTCCATGTGATTGGTGTCTACATTTCCTGGTTTTAGGGTGTCATAGTAAAAGACTATATAAATATAATAATATGTATATATATGTGTGTGTGTGTGTATATACTTAAATTGTATGTTATCAGACATTGTTGAATGGTTAATGAAGAAGTTAGTTCATGAAACTAAAATAAGGATAGAGTCTTAGAATATAGATACTCTCACGGGTAAATCAATAGAATTGGTTGATATTATGATTTCTAAAAAGATAAATATCTTATGTATTTAAGAAACTAAATGAGTTGGAGAAAAGGCTAAGGAGATTGATAACTTTGGTTTTAAACTTTGATATTTAGGTAAGAGTCGCACTGGAAAAGGTGTATGTGTAATCTAAATAAGAGTTTGAAAGATAATGTTGTAAAAATTAATAGAATTGGAGATAAAATTATACCCCTTAAGATTATTATTGATACTAAAATTTTTAATATTATAAGTGCTTATGCTCCTAAAGTAGATTTAGATATAGGTTCTAAAGATATATTCTATAATGACCTAGAAGACTTAATGCAAATGATATCTCTTGAAGTAAAAAATTATATTGGAGGAGATTTAAGGTATGTTTGGGGCAGCTGCAGCTTATTGAACTTTGCTGATAAACAACTGATATTGATGATCTGCAGCTTATCTGGATAAGTTGACAGACTGTTTAGTTTGTGCTGTTTGAAAACAACTGATTTGCAGCTGTTTCTAGATAAATGATCATTCTGTCTCTGTGCAATAAAACTGATTACAACAGAACTGTCATAGTAATATATTTGATACTTGAGAAGCAGAAAGCTAATACAAAACAACAAAACAAAATAAGAGACACCTCTCACTAAACAAAGAATTTTTCAAAAAAATTATTTTTTACATTTATAACATGGGCTTAAAGATGATATTACAATGTTTTTACAAATAAACCCCTAGACTTCTTCAATATTTCCTTTTTACCAATAGGACCCTAAATAAGATTCAATTCTCAATAGAATCTAAAATTAAATAGACCTCACATCTAGTTGAAATTATGCAACTATTCATGCTTAATTTGTATCCAACATATATCCACTCTAATACAATTTAAAACTAATATAGAACAACAAAACAAAATAAGACACCTCTCTCTAAACAAAGAATTTTTCAAAAAACCTATTTTTTACATTTATAACATGGACTTAAATATAATATTACAATGGTTTTACAAATAAACCCCTGTACTTCTTTAATATTTCCTCTTTACCAATAGGACCCTAAGTAAGTTTCAATTCTCAACAGAATTTAAAATTAAATAGACCTCACATCTAATTGAAATTATGCAATCATTTATGCTTAATTTGTATCGAACATGCATCCACTCTAAATTTACCAAAGTTCAATCTTACAATTTAAAATCTAGTGATTTAAATAATCAAAGACAACAAAAGTTGAACAAATTTTAATCTATTTTTTAATTAGAATGTAGTTAAAGTCTTGAACACAGAATCTGAAATTCGGAGCATTTAGTATTCAATCAAATTATTTACATAAATTTATTATTATTTCGCAAAACTGAATGTTATAAAAATTTAATATAGTTTATAAAAAAAATCACTAAAAATACCACATTTATTATCAAGAATGCAGAATTTGAGGATGTGCAGGAGGGTTAGAAATTTGAGATAAGGAAATACATATTTTAAAGTAATTATTGCAATTTTATTTCCTTCAATCCAGATGAAGCATTCGTCCAAGTAGAATGAAAACTGAAAAAGAAAACATCTATGAACAAAATTGAATTTGGCTTTCTAGCACAGTGTTGAAGCTCGACATCAGAACCTCCACCGACGAGAAGCCTCTGACCGCCTCCAAGAACGCCGATGAAAAAAAGCGAAGAAATTAGAGCTGTAGTGGGCGGTGCCACGAGCTTTGCCGCCATTCCCCTTGCCGGCTAGATCTTTGCTTTTGCAGAGTTGCATGTGATGAGTATAAGTGGTCAAGCGAGCGAGGGAGAAGACGGGGGGCACAGGAAGAAAAAAACCTTTGAAGCGGAATCGAAAACACAGGCCGCGTGATCAATCCCGCGGCCGCGTCTATTAAAAGGCGCCAAACAACATTTTCAAAAACGCTCCCCAAACGTAACAATCAAACACCCAAGCGGCGTTTTGAAAACGCCAAACGCGCCTTGGTTGGTTGAAGTGGAGGAATGCTTCGGGCTTATCGCGGATAGAAAAGTATCACTTAGACTAAAAGAAAAAAAAAATTAACATAGTGGTGAGACCTGCAATGCTCTATGGCGCTGAATCTTGGCTTTTAAAAGAGAAGCATAAAACTAAGTTGAGTGTTGTCGAGATGAGAATGATTAGTTGGATGGGTGGCTTTACACAAAGATAAAATGTGAAATGAATATATCTTTGATAGGGTTGGTGTAACTCCAGTGACGGACAAAATTAGAGAGAGTCGTTTTATATGTTTTGGTCACATTAAACGTCGACCATCTGATGATCCGATTAGAAGAGTAGTTGTTTTAGATGCAACTTATGTTAAGAAAGACAGAGGTAGACCTATGATGACTTGGACATATTGTATTAAAAATAATCTTAATTTATTAGACTTAAATGAAAATATGACACTCAATAGGACACAATAGAGAAAAAGGGCTCATATAGCTGACCCCGCTTACTGGGATAAAGGCTTGTTGTTATTGTTGTCGTTGTTGTTGATGTAGAGTAAACATAAGTCAAGAAATACAAATTTTTAGTTTTCCTTGAAACCTTACTTATTGAGTATTGGTAAACCTTGTTTTTGTCATCCTTGAAATAAAATGTATAAATTGTGAGGTTATTCAAAGTGAGGATTTATGTACTCAACATCGATTATGAATTTTAGATTTTAAGATGAAGAGTTGTAAAATAAAGAATACTATGAATCATTGTCGTAGAATTAGATGGGGGTTCCTAAAACTCATATAAAATTATTTTTATGAGTAAACTTCAAGATTTTAAGATTTGGGATGTTCTTGAAAAAACAAATTCTATGTGGGATAAACTGACAAACACTATTAAACAAGCGACAAAAGATGTACTTGGAGAATCAAAAGAAAATATTTTTATAAATTATAATAATTGGTGGTGGAATAATAATATGCAAGAAAAGATAAAAATATAAGGAGTTATGTTCTAAAAATTGGCTTAAATGTAAAATTTTAGAGAATTGAGAAAAATATAAAATAACCCGTAGGGAGTCTAGAAGAATAATCTGTGATGCTAAAAATTCTGCTTTTAGTGATTTTTATAATTTATTAGATACTATAGATGTTGAAAAATTTATGTATAAACTAGTCAAACAAAGAAAAAGAAAAGTAAATGTTTAACTAAAGTAAAGTGTATTAAAGATGAAAATCAAAAAGCGTTTTTCTTAAAAAAAGATATTCAACATAAGTGAGTGAGTTATTTTGATAAACCTTTTAATAAAATTTCTGAAAATACAATCGACCTAGGGATCTTAATATCGTTAATAATAATAAAATGTTTCATTTTTACTGTCGCATTAGTAAAAAAGAAATTGATGAGGCTTTAAAAAAATCAAGGGTGGAAAATCTATAGGACCTGATGATATCCCAATTGAAGTGTGGAAATATATATGAGATTTGAGAGTTTCTTGGCTTACTAAATTCTTTAATATTATTTTAAAAACTAAAAAGATACCTGAGGAGTGGACGAAGAGTATTTTGGTCCCCATTTTTAAGAATAAAGGGGATGCACAAGAATGCGAAAATTATAGAGGAATTAAATTAATGTTTCATACTTTAAAATTATCG